ATTATTTAACTCTACATTTTTTTTTTGTATAAATGATCCGCACGGGTATTATGTAAAAAACCTATAACATCAAAAACAAACCTATGAGATGTCATTTTGCAGACTAGGTAGTGTTGAGGGTGCAAACAGTCATTCTACGTTTGTTCACTAGGATCGTTGTGAATGTCCATCTATGGAGGAATCACTCAACTAAACTACACATTAATGGTTGCATAGTTTTGTGAGGCTGAGTGATCCGGGTCTTTAGTTTTTATCTCTGAGAAGAGAGTTGGTTAAATAGCAAGATCGCATCTGGATGATTATGTGTATTGGTCGTCACGAGTATAAAATCAGTGATATTTGCTGTGTGAGAAAATCATTACTGAATATGCCCAATATGACGGGTTATTTATATGTTGTGCTTTCTGAATAGAGGTTATGTTCAAAGTTATAAATTACGAAAAACTGAGGAGAATTACGGAAAATCATCACCGCGTTGTGTGTACTTACTGTTAGCATGTATACGTACATGGCTTGTAATTCGACAGTGTACAGTGAATATAATTATTTCTTATCTTTCTCCCTCTCTTTCTTCATTTTTGAAATTCATCAAATTTTTATATGTAATTTCCAGAATGGTTAAGAAAAAGTGGATGCGCAACTAATTTCTGGCTTTGAATTTCAATTAAGTGTATTTGAGACAAGAACCCAATGTAATTATCATCAACACATACAACTTATAGCTTAGACCTCCAGTAATGCCATCTCAGAAGCAGATTTTACATCACATCAGAGCCAAAGATTGATAACAAGCATCATGACGTTTAGGCAACAGGTACAACAAAGCGCTAAGTTAACATCTTGTGGAATAACCTACATAATGTAAAAAAACAGCATAATGCCAAAACAAATCGGCATAATGTCACTTTTCAAGATATGTGTTACCTGTGCCCAGAGCCTATGAAACTTTTTTTTTTTTTTTTTTTTTTTTTTTTTATTACTGGCCTTAGGAGTTCTAGCCTATTCGGCCACGAGAGTGATATAAACATGCTCAAATTTATAATAAAACATATAGATCCGCTGCTAGCAATATTGTATAGATCCACATACATACAGGTAACAGGGCCCTACTCAAAACCAGGAAATTATAATAGAAGAACCAAGATTAGGGAGGAACGGGGATACACGTTTCACGTCAAGGTGCCGGTCATGACGACTTTAAAGACAGACAACACAGGCAACGGTTGGTAGGTTTAATAACAGATAGGCAAAAACACAGGTAAAAATAACTCAAGTCACACGACAATCTCACTGAATTCTAAATTCGTGTAACTCGTTAATTATATTTTCCGTCTGGCTCTCTTGAAGAAGTCCCATAGAGTTTTTCGAATTGATGAATTGTGAGTGCTTGAATACAGAAGGGAGGTTTGACTTTGAGGAAATGGAACACCAAGTGTAGCCAGCTCACTCATCATATAAACTGAAGCGGTTGAGTTGAATTTGCATTGGAACAACCAATGATTGATATCATCCCTATTCCCATCACAGCTACATGTATCCGATTCTTCGAGACCAAAGCGGTGCAGGTAAGCTTTTACTGTAGCATGTCCGACCAAACATCTGAAGTACATTGAGTGTACTCTCCTATTGACGTGGCTTCTGAACTCTATTGGGGAGTCAGGGAGGTTTGGATAAATTTTGCAGTATTGGTTATTATTGTTGGTACAGAAATTAGTCCATTCCATTTGCCAGCTCTTTTTCATATTAAGCTTCCTCGACGAGGCTATGTCAGTTTTAGTTACGTATTGTTTTTCTTCTCCGGACGAGGCGGCTACCTTAGCCAGTCGATCTGCCATTTCATTCCCCTCAATTCTTGCATGACCTTTTATCCATATAAATGCCACCGATTTCCTTAGTTGTCTTAATTGAGACTCCTTCTCCAGTATTGAGACGATGGTTTTGTTGTGGTATATGTGAAAAGGCGCATTTTGTAATGCGCGTATAGCTGATTGTGAGTCTGACATAATAATGAATTTTTGGTATGACGGACGATTGCAGACTACCCACTCAAGAGCCAGATCTATGGCTGCTAGCTCAGCGGTGAATATAGAGCAGATGGGATCCAGTTTATACTTTAGAGACACTTTCTCGTCTTCTATAAATACAGCACACCCTACGCCTTGCTCAGATTTGGATCCGTCTGTGTAGATTCTACAAGGAGTCACAAATTTTTGTAGTAGATCGTGGAGTAATTGCTTCATGATGGGAGGATTTTCAGCAACGGTGATGTATGTCTCTAAATTTGAGAATGAAATATTGTATTGAGACTTGAAAAATGGTATATTATCTCCTTCTATGTTGTACAGAGAGATGTTGGGGTATGCTTCAGCAAGTGTAGGAGAGTTTTTATTTTGCCACCATGGAAGCGTCAAGTTGAGGGTGGTTAGTTGAGCTACTTTTCTTGTGAGTGCAGTTTGGTCATTGAAGCTGCATTTTATAATGAACTTTTCTGCTAAGAATAACCTTCTCAAGTGTAATGGAGGTTCCTGACACTCTGCTAACAGAGTAGCTGTTGGAGTAGATTTCAGAGCCCCCAAGGCTAACCTTAGACCTTTATACTGTAGCCTATCGAGCTTGGCAAGGCGAGTCTTCGTAGCTGAACCATATAAGAAACATCCATAGTCTAATATCGATCTTGTATAGCATCTATAGAATAAGATATTTATTTTGGGATCAGCTCCCCATTTGTACCTGTTAACCGCTTTGAGGATGTTCAGGCTTTTTTCGCATTTGACAAGACAATTGTTTATTTGGTAATCCCAAGTCAGTTTGGTGTCCAGCGTGATACCCAAATAGGTGTAACTACTGTGAACCGGGATCGCAACGTTGGCCAATGGCAAGATGGTACATACAGGTAAACGGTGACGGGAAAAAAATACGACGGCAGATTTTGAGGGGGATATGTCAAGACCCTGGTTGAAGAAATAATCGTTGCAACTATGCATTATAACGTTGAGCATATCAATGCATTGTTGATACACTTTATTCTTAACATAGAAGCAGAAGTCATCGGCGTATTGCAAGACACTGCATTCCAACCCCGCAGTATGTAGGTCCTGAGTATATATGTTGAAGAGAAGCGGGCTTATAACGGAACCTTGTGGGAGGCCCTTATGTACTGTTCTCGGGCCAACGGCTTGATTGTTACATCGGATATAGACCTTCCTGTTAATGAATAGATTGATTAGGACACATGCGTAGCTCTGAGGTAAGTTCAGTCTAAGCAATTTATCAAAAAGTATCTCGGGTATGACATTGTCATAGGCACTGGAGATATCTACAAAGAGAGATGCTAGGTAGTTATTTTCAGAAAAGGTTATCTGTATATCGCTCACTAGATGCGCTACGCAATCGACAGCCCCTTGTCCTCTACGGAAGCCAAACTGTGATGTTGGGGGAGTGTTGTTGCTTTCCAATCACCATTCAAGCCTTGCCTTCAAGATCCTTTCAAACGTTTTCAAAAGGCAAGACATTAGAGAGATTAGTCTACAGGAATTGGGGTCGCTTGCTTTGGGAATCGGAATGATGAAAGCGGCTTTTAGGGCATCGCAGTTTTCTCCTAGGATAAGAATACGGTTATAGATATTGCATAGAAAGTCTACAGCGACCTGCGGTAAATTTTCTATCATAAGGTAGTTGATACCATCAATTCCTGGAGATGTCAGCTTGGAGACCTTAATGTTTGCTTTCAGCTCTTCTGACGTGATTTGTGACAAAAGGAAGTGCTGTTCACTATTACTCTGCGGAGAGAAAAAAGGACAGGAGGCATACGGTGGAGCTATCTTGTTTAGAAGTGCTTCTACACTAGATGCATCCTGTCTATGAAACTGTTTAGAGTTTTGAATTTTGTTGACCCGTTTCCAGATACTTGACGGGGAGGACTGTCTATTTAGGTTGCTGCAGAATTCAGCCCAACTAGATTTTACTTTTGTTCGGAATGACCGCTTACAGACGGCATCAGTTCTTTTATATTCCAAGTAGTTGGCAAAAGTGAGGTTCGACTTGTAGGTTTTAAAAGCGTTTTTCCTAACATTAACTAATGAAGAGCACTCGTCATCCCACCAGGGAGGAGATCTAGATTTGTTAGAGAAAGGTTTCAGAATTGTGCATGCTTGGTTGGCTGCGTTTGTGATTGAGCTTTGTAAAAAGACGATCATGTCATTAGTGTCCACAAATGTGGGCAAACCAGAAAAATACTTTATAATTTCTGTACGGTATAAGACCCAGTCAACATTTTTCATGGACCATTTGGAGGTCGGAGTTATGGGAGTGTTTTCTATACGTATATCATTGAAAGTAATCTTGATAGGAAAGTGATCGGAGCCGTACGTATCAGGAAGGGTAGACCAGGCGAAAGAAGAACATAGACCTGAAGATAGGATAGTTATGTCCACGACAGATTTAATTTGCCCTGGTGGGGTAATTCTTGTAGCTGAACCATCGTTGACCACTACAAAGTTTTGGAACGAGTCTAGTGCTTCTAGCACAGTATTACCTTCAGTAGAGCTTACTGGAGAACCCCACATACCATGATGGGCATTGAGATCCCCTCCTATGATACATTCGTACTTTATTTGTTTAAAGATATTTATGTAATCTGAAGCTAAGGCCTTAACATTTGGTGGTCTGTACATACTAACAACGGACAACTTTCTACCGTCATTGAACACGTTTATACCACATATCTCAATTTTTGAGTTGAAATTATTCGTGAAATTTATTGGTTCAAATTGAATAGATGTCGAGACAAAAATTGCAACCCCCCCGTAACCATCATCTCTATCTTTTCTAATAATATGAAATTTTTTAAAATTCGTATTAAACGACTTTTTGTACCAAGTCTCCGATACCAGGGCGATATCGAAGTCTTCTTCCACCTGTAGTTGTTCGAGTGAGTTTTTATTAGCACGCAAAGATCTGGCATTCCACTGAATGACCTTCAACCTTCTGGGAGCCATGAGCTAAGCGAAAACTTTTGCTAGGATGTTTTTAATTTTAGTGTCCAGTTCACTTTCACAGTTTGCTTGTGCTGTGTCATTAAAGGGTGTTTTTTCACTGATGTAATCTTGTAAACATTGCTGCAAGAGTTTTTTTATTGCGGCGGTTAGCTGGTTAATCAGCTGGTCGGACTCAGTGCAGGATTCCTGTGCTTCAGATTGGAAAACAGGCCCAGCACAAAATGAAGAATTATATTCTCTACGGATGGGAGCGAAATTAGGAGAAGTATCCCTGGTTTTTCTTTTTTTGGGAGGATTCGCAAAAGGGGATGGTTGAGGGCTTGAAGCTGCTTTGTGACTTGGTTGTTGAGTGGGAGAAGAAGTGGATTGAGATGAAGAGGTTAGAGGGGGAAATTCTATATCTGAATTTATTAGAGGGGCAAATCTATTTTTTTGAATAATACTAGTATAGCACGGATTATCAATGACTTTCTCAGCCTCTTTAAATGAAATATTCAGATTTGCCATAGCCTCCTTAGTTCTTAGCTGTTTTTTGTACTCAGGACAGTCACGAAATGTTGAATCATGACTGTTGTTTTTGCAGTAAACGCAGTATACGTTGCAAGCGTGATTATTATCTGTATCTGCAGAACCGCACTTTCTACACCTTCTACTACTCTTACATTGAGATGCTGAATGCCCGTATCGCAAGCATTGGAAGCATTGCATAACTGGGCTAATATACGTTTCAACCGGGCATCTGACTTTGTTTATGAAAACAAATTGTGGCAGCAGCTTACCTGCAAAAGTGACAACTACAGTTTGTGTAGGAACCCGGAGAGAAGATTCTCCATTATTAACGGTTCTAGTCATTCTGTACGCTTTTTTCACAAGGATGTTAGATTTTATGATATTAACTAGAGAATTTTCATTAATAGCCGTGTCAACACCTCGTATTAAACCACGCTTCTCTGTAAGGTGGTTGGGAATGTACGCTACAAGATTATTAGCTTCAAATAAGGAATCTTCTATGAGTTTATTGGCAGTATCACCCGAATCAAGTTCAATTTTTATGCGATTACGACCTACCGTGCTAATTTCTAAAATGTGTTTTTCATATTCAGCTAATGCTGCTAATTTTTCTCCCAGCTTCATTGGGTGAAGTCGACCCAAATTTAAGTCAAGGTGTTCTACAAATACAAAGTACGGGCCTGTGTCACTGTTTCTAAATCTGTTGTCCGTATTTTTTGGGCGACTTTTTCGCGATATAGCCGTATCAGCAGAGAGAACATAATCGGGTTTTTCTGTAGATTTGCTAGTGCATGCAGTATCATTCTTTATAGGTTGTATAGGGGTATGTATGTTGTCATGATCACTATCAACGAATATAACATCTTCGCAATACACATTGCTAGGAATTTGCTGCGGACTATCTTGCGTCAGAGGCGGCGGATCCCCGCCGCCTGGAATGTTGTAGCCACCAGACATCTGTTTACACAGAGCTGGGGCAAAAAATCTGCATGCGACCCAGGAAAAAAAGGAATAAAGTCTACTTACAGTGATTCAGCAAGGAAAGTATGTGTGTAAAACCCAAACCAATAGATAAGAAATCTGTAATTGATCCGCACCACGCTCTAAGGAGACACGACCATATACGACCTATCCGGACCGTGGTTGGAACAAGACTGAGCCTATGAAACTTGGAAGCACGAAGCTTAGTCGGTATATATATATATATACTTTTTTTCATGTTATTCCTGTAGACTTAATCAATTTTCGAAAACTGCAAATTCTTTTCGCCTTTGGCATTGTCCTAACCTCGTTTCGAATTGTAGATTAAAATCCGTCCAAAGTCTTAAGTTATAACTGTATAACTTGTTCAGATTGCTCTATTCTGAATCAGACGCTACCCACAACATCGCCCTTATTGACGTCATTTTTTGCTAAGCCTTCCTCAGCCTACAAGAGCATAATTAAATGGCAATTTCTTAGAAGAGGGGGAACCGTCCGTTGAATAGAGATCATTAGAATGAGTGAATGAGGAGGGATCGTGCGACTGGTGATACCTCATAATACACTGTTTACGGGAACACGAAAACCATGTATGTGCGAGGGTGGTTCTATCAAAGAAATCGCAGAGACGAAGATGGTCATCCAAAATAAATTTTTATAAGAAATTAGAGCTGAACTATACTTTAGCGCATACCGCAAATATAATATTTCTTATTTTAAGATGAAAGATTAGGATGTAACTTGCACGAAAATATCATTTTTTCTTTAAGGATCCCTCTGCTTGCTATTTTATAGAACTTCAAAGTTGCATTTTGTGCGGTAATACTGTGGTATTGAATACTGTTTTATAAGCTGATTTTTTTCTTGTTTACACAAAAGATTGTTCAAAATTACATGAATATAACATACATGTAAATTACTGTGACACTGTTCATCGCAATAATGCAACTTTGCATTATTTTAATAATGATATTAGTTCGTTGTTAAGTAGTAATTTCTTTTATTTCAGATGAATATTCCCATCACTACACCACCATCCACCACCATCACTATCCTAATTTCTCCATCTAGTTGCTATGTTGCCAAATCATGGATAGTTATAATTTGGTTTGTCAAATTCTTACTTATATACTAGCGCAAAAATGTGCAATCGGCACAGGATTGTGCTATTTGGAGGTGTGGCCGGCAGGTTTTACTGTACTAAGTCCACCTTGTGCCCCACGATAGCGTTAGCTAAATACACTTTTTTGAAGAATGCCTTATACCCTTCCCAAAAGTACTTCGGTTACTGTTTTTCCTATATTATAGTTATAATCTATTTAATTTTTGAATGTATGTACTTGAAGGATTATTTAAAGTGAAGCTGATGTCATAAAATATACCTAATTAAATGTGATATATATGAGAAATAACTGAAAAAAAAAACATTACAAAGAACATTGCAAGTTTTTTGATGATTCGATGAAATGATCGTTGATCTTTATTTAACTATAATGTTGGATGATGATATGTTGGGTGGACCTAGCGACGTGGTCTAAAGTCTAAATCGACGAATCGAAGTTGGCTATTTTTATATGCAACGACCGCTGGTGCCTTTTGTATTTCCTATTTCACGCGAGCCGCTGGTGCATTTTCCACTGTTTAGTCACAGACTGTTCAAAATTTCGTCTAGTTTTCGGTAAATATTGGGTCAACTTCTCATAAAACAAGCCATTTACAATAAATTAAGACCTTTATCTTGCAACTTACCTCATTGTTTATTACGTATTGCTCCCAAAAAAGGTACAACTTGGTAACAATGGACATCATTTATCTTAACTGTCAAGAAATGAACGTTATAAAGTTGCCATTCAGAATTGTTTGTACTTTCAAATATTTCTTATAAACGCAAAAACCTTGAACTCATTGAAAATACGCAAAAAATGGTTAAGGAATTTCAAGAAGACTGAAAAATCACAACACAACACCTCTACACAGCTTACCAAGTAAATACCATCATTTACGTATGGATTTTGAACTGTTATTTTAGCTAATAAGCTAATGTGTAATAACACGGCTGATTTTGAAGCTTTTTCTGCAAAAAACGATTTTTTACAGTTTAACATCTATTTTCCTTATTACTATACAGTGTATGTTATATTCTTATAATTTAGACATTTAGAGCATCATTTTGTGCAAAAAGCAAAAAATGCGTGTAAAACACTATTCCATTCTAGAATATTACCACCAAAAATACAACTTTGAAGTTCTATAAAACAGCAAGCAGAGGGTTCCTTGAAGAAAAAATAATATTTTCTTGCAAGTTACATCCTAATCTTTCATTTTAAAGTAAGAAATGAAGTCTTTGCGATATGCACTAAAGTATAGTCTTACCGAAATTAGTACACTTGCCGCACCTATTATCTTTTTTGGATGTTATATGACATGTACAACACGAAAAAACATGTCATCCATTTCCTTTGATCTCTCGGACTGCCGTTCTGTAAGCCCGCTTATCCTTGGGCCCTTCATAACTTGTAAAATATCGCTGAGGTTTAATAAAAATGTTGACTCAAGGTTACTGCTAGGATGAAAAAACACGGGCAACAAACGAAAAAGGGAATCGCTCGTTATTTGATGTTTTAAAGACTGCTGATTTTTTCTTTTCTCTTTTCTCTTGCTGGTTATAATGGGGGGTGCAGGGTGTGGGGAAGGGTATACATCAATTATTCGAAGTTTGTGTTTAAACGTATCTACCTGATAGTTCTACGCCGCTGTTAGACAAGTTTCAGAGGTAGACTTTCCCGTACATTTGTCATTTATATCGTAATCGTTACTCACAAGCACACTTGAGGGCCCTCAAGTGTTTCTTAATGTACTCAAAATTGTCAACGTCATGATCTGACAAATTTGAATCATTCTGTAAACCTTTTTGATGATTGTGGTCTTGGCATTTGCGTTTGTAACTAATAATATGTGGTCCAAAGTTACACTGATCAATATGATCAAGAATGAAAATACTATCCAGAGGCTGAAGAATCCCTATTATGTAGCCTAACTGAAGAATCCGACGACGTTATCGAATCAAAAAAACCGATTGTAATTGAGGCCAAAGGAAAAAATAAGCAATTTGTACAACTCCCAGGGAGTGATCTAAAAGAATCCCAAGCAACTGAAAAGGACCGGGAAAGCGGATATAAAAACGAAGTACGTGATGCTCGCCACTTTATATTTCAAAGTTTGCTTGTTTTGTCTGTTCTAATGTTAATCTTTTGAAATAATAGAAACCTGACGCGAAAGGGGCTGGGTAGACCGGTGTGTTACGGTGACGACTGCTAGCGCATCGGCTTGAATCGCGAGTTTGAATATGAATTCCTCAGACACGGGCTCCGCAGACATTTTGTTCTTGGGGTACGCTGACATACCAGCAAGTAGAATTATTATATACAAGCCCAAAATTTTGGAAAGTGGGGGGCAGTATAGCTAAATAAGTAATTCTTAAATTTGGTACAGATACCAAATTAAATATGCAAATTTTAGGAGGCAGCTCAAGCGGTCGCCCATCTGCTCTTGTTTGTCTATCGGGTACGTACAACGAATTGGGACTAGGTTAGAAAAAGCCAAGCCCATATGATTTTAAACGATTGTTTGTTAGAAACATCAACAGATTATTGTTTACACAAAATTTGACCTTGAACGAAAATTGTATCCTTTTCCTCGAGTAGACATCTGCTTTTATCGCGCTTAAATTGCTTTTTACATAACATGCAACACTTCCCCATCTTCGAGAAAAGTCCAAAATGGTATATATTCCACTGATATGTTTTAAAATCCTCAAAACTCTGTGAAAATATCACGGAAAACACACGTAAACATGAGCAAAACCAAGCTTCCCCTCAATTTCACAAAGCCGCAGCATAAAACACCAGAAATCAGCACAGCTGTTCTTAATTTTCACCACAGCGTTGCCAGGTTTAGTACGCACATATCAGTTTCTCAGGAAATATCACCGGGATATAACAATACATACTTCTCAACTGTCTTCGGTGTTTATTTCAGATGTAGGTATTTCGAAATGCTGAGTACGAAACCACAATAAGAACAGCTCAAGACATTTTCGGAAATCGCTGTGATGTTTATTTTTTTTTATTTGTTTTAATTTTTGTGAGCTCCGTGAAATTGGTAGGTTTTGAAGCTATGATGACACTGCATCAGTTACTGGAAACATTATAATATGAAATGTATTAGGGTACTAAAGCCAAAGACTTTCTTTTCGATGCAGGTGTTACAAACAATTTATAACTTTACATACACATGAGCTGTTCTATTTGAAAATATATACAACGCATGGATACAAATGAATACTCTTTATTTAGGTATCACCATGTATAACATTTTACAATTATTTTTGCACTGCTCATCTATCGATTGGGTGAAGGCAGTTGTTGATTTTAAACAAGATGTGACATCCCCGCAGAAAACTGGTAACCACTCAAGTTTGTGTGTCGCTCTAGATGATTGACAAAAACAAATCCTTTGTTTACGTCTTCTACCCAAGTATTCGAATTCGTGGGTACATACGGACCAAATAGGTACAAGATCGAATGGAGTCATCGCACTTTTCCGACGACGGAGCTGGTTTATTCGATAATCTGATACTGTTACTATTAAATACGCGAACATCCGAAAACTTGGCAACCACCGTTTTTTAAGAATGAGGCTCTAAGGAAAATTCCAGGATCGCAAAAAAGCAATTTGTCTATGACCTTAGATATGTCCTAGACAATGACCTCAAAGGCCATTTGGAGGCCAACTATCTCAATTCAAATAGCCATCATGATTTTTAACAACAGATTCTTGTCGAGCTCGACATTTTACATCTTAATCTATTTTAGTTCATGAGGTCAGGGGGTTATTAGTCATAAGTAATGTGTACGAATGCCCCAAACATTCGATAACTATGCATTTTTCATATCAAAAGGGAATGTTGTTATGAC